ATGATTTCTATACTGTGGAATCATTTTAAGTGGTGTGAGGGGCGGAGGGGGAGAGAGACATGGCTGGAGCTGAAGAACCGATCTCCAGCAAGAGTGGGGCTGAGGTCCGGGTTAGGCAGGGCTGTTACAGACTCCGGCAGGCCTCAGGCAGGGTGGCGGGCACCAAGTGGCCTGAGGGCAGTGGGCAGAGGTAGCCCCTCAGGTTTCTGGCTAGGCCCCTGAGTGGTGGGTGGCATTGGTTAGTGAAGGGCTGCTCCCGGAGGAGATAAGGGGGGAAGGGGTGCTCAGGTGAGACTTCTGGGGAGCAGGTGACTCTCTGGCTCCAAGCGGGGAGTCCCACCTGCGCTTGCCGATGGGGCTGCTGGTCTGGACTGTGCTAGAGAGAGAAAGGGCTACTGTTTGCCTCCTAGCAGGTGAAGGAAGAGGGGCCCAAAGACAGTTGGACAAGTAACTTCATCAGGAAGACGGCCTCCTGTCTTCCCCAGAGAGCGAGAGTGAAGTGAGCAGGTGACGTCTATGGTGATCCTTCCACAAGGAGGGAAGGAGGCAGGAGGGGAGGCGGCTTTAGCTCCCTTTTCTTTTAGCCCTGTGGACTGGAGGGGCCTTGATCATCTCTTCCACCCTTGCACGGGGTCACCCTTGGTCAGGGAAGCCTGTGGCCAGTGGCTGGGGCCTTGTGCTGCTTAAAGCATGAATTATTAGCACCACTGATTTAAGGGTAGACGCACGTTTTTCAGGGCTTGCTTTTTGAAAAGGAACATGCGATGACGAACGAATAATTAGATCTGAGGCCTTGGAAGGGTCGGCGCGTGCTGGCCTCGAAACTCAAGTTGCTTTGGCCTTGGTGGTAGTCTTGCCTGCGTGGTGATGGTGACGGCTGCAGTGGCCTTCCTAGGCAGGAAAGGAGGATGCGGCACTGCTCCCAGTTTATTGAAACCTGACTTTGTTCCCTGCTGGCAGCTGTTCTGAGAGAAGAAGGGAGGTGCAGGGCACTGGGGGGCAGGCAAAGAGAGAAGGACGGTTGCATTCTATGGCAAGTTCACAACATTATGAGAAACTGTATCAGCTCCTTTGTTAGTGGATGGTCTGGGGCTTTGGGTAGAAAAAGAAAACATCGGAGCTGAGATGAAAAGGAAAAGAAATCCTCTGACCAGGAAGACTGGAGTCTGGAGAGGTGGTCCGCCTGCGGACGTCATCTCACCGGTCGGGAGAGCATGAGAATTTCAGTGATCTCAACACAAGATCACCATACTGACAAATAGCACCCGAGGGAGTGGGTTGGTTTTATGTCGTGTTCTAGTGCGTTTTCATCGTGAACATCTTAGCATGGCAAGGCCTCAGGGAAGGGCTTTCGGGGAACGACAGAACCAAGAGGCTTTAGTAGAACCCGGAAACCCGGCATTCCTTTAAAATCAGGCATTGAGCTTTGCCTTTGACTTCCTGCAAGTTACAAGATATGAAGCTGCTGTTTGAGATCCACAGCAGAACTCTGGTGGGTGACTCAGGGGAAGGAAGGCAGAAGGCAGAATCCCTGCCCTAGCAAAGATTCTAACCCAGCACGTGCACACAGCAGTCGAAGAACAGAGTGTGGACAGTGGGCAAACATAAGGGACTGTCGTATGGGGTGAGTGAAATTCGTAAGTGCCAAGGGATGCAAAAACTGGCCCTGGGAAGAGTCAGGAATGAGGTGGTTTCTGCCAGAGGTGAAGTCTAAGTGGAGTTTTCAAGAAGGCTGTGGGTGCGGCGGGCATAGTTCCAGGGTCCTTGGGGTGCTGCTGGCAGGATGAGCCTGAGAGCTTCTGGGGAGGTGGACGGCATGTGCCGGGGGTCCAGAAGCTTTTGAGAAGCACCTCCAGGGGAGTGTGGGGTATTTTGATGGGCAAGGCCCTTACATACCGCATGTTGCACATGAGGGGATGGACTCCACAAAGCGCACATGGAAGAGACCACCTCTCTGCAGGGACGTGTCCTGCACATCTGGACTAGAATGCAAGTTTCTCTTTTTAGAAAAATGGGGCCAGCCATGGTGGCTCGTGCCTGTAATCCCAGCACTTTGGGAGGCCTAGGCAGGAGGATCTCATGAGACTAGGAGCTGAAGACCAGCCTGGGCAATATAGCGAGGCTTTGTCTCTACAAAAAACTTTAAAAACTGGCCAGGTGCGGTGGCTCATTCCTGTAACCCTAGCACTTTGAGAGGCTGAGGCAGGTGGATCACCTGAGGTCATCAGGGGTTCAAGGCCAGCATGGCCAACGTGGTGAAACCCCATCTCTACTAAAAATACAAAAATTAGCTGAGTGTGGTGGCGCATGCCTGTAATCCCAGCTACTCGGGAGGCTGAGGCAGGAGAATCATTTGAACCCAGGAGGTGGAGGTTTCAGTGAGCCAAGATTGTGCCACTACACTCCAGCCTGGGCGACAGAGTGAGACTCTATCTAAAAAACAGCAACAACAACAAAAACAAAAATTTAAAAACTTAAAAAATTAACCAGGCACAGTGGTGTGTGCCTGTAGTTCCAGCTACTCGTGGAGGCTGGGGCGGGAGGATCGTTTGAGCCTGGGAGGTCCATGAACAGGTCTTCTCCTGTACAGCTTGTTTATTTCTCTATTTTGTGTGACAGATGTAGCAATGCGTCTTGCATTGACAGGCTCTGCTTGCAGTCGTTTTGTATTAAACACAGCCTATTTTTGGATGGGCCACCCTGAAAGCGTTGTTTCAGATCTATTAAAGAAACATACTGCTATGAATGCTCTTAGTGTGCTCCGCCTCCCTCGAGGCCATAGGGACGGTTAGTGTTTACTACCTTATGGAAACTGTTTTTCTCCATGCTTTTGTCTCGAATAGCACTAAACATTCATTAGCTAAATAGGAAACTTATTTCAGAGGGGATTGTTTTTCATCCTAAAGAGGATTTTTAAAAATTTGAGGCCAGGTGCAGTGGCTTATGCCTGTAATCCCAGCGCTTTGGGAGGCCAAAGTGGGAAGATCTCATATGGCCAAGAGTTCCACACCAGCCGGGGCAACACAGTGAGACCTCCGTCTCTACAAAGAACATTTAAAAGTTAGCCACACGTGGTGCTGTGCGCCAGCTACTTAGAAGGCTGAGATGGGAGGATTGCTTGAGCCAAGGAGGTTGATGCTGCAGTGAGCTCAGATTGTGTCACTCCTTTCCGGCCTGGGCAACAGAGCAAGACCCTATCTCAAAAAAAAAAAAAAAAAATCTGGACTTACCTTAATATAAAATTTTGAAAGATGTAAGGCTATAGAAAAGCATAATAAAAAATGATTCAAGAATATTTTGTAATACATGAAAGCTTTTGAAAGGCTAATTTTATCTTTAGTTGTATAAATGTATTTTGGAAGAAAGTAAGATTTTAATATGTGTATCTACATTGTCTTTCACTAATAAGTCAGAGCTTCAACATCTGTCTTCAGAGTGCATTTTCTATGGGAAGAACTTAGGTTGTAGGCATTTAGCTCAGAGAAAGTGGAAAAGGTACTTTCACTGCTCACTTTTCGCTGTTTCTGCCCCAAGACCTACTGTTCATTCTCCAGACGTGCTGTATTTTATGTCAAAAGGTTTTACTGTTTCCGGGAAGAACTGTGTGGTTCATTTTCCCCGGGCTTATAATCAGTAAGTAGTGATTTTCTGTTCAGTGTTACTTAGTGTGATACTGTAAAATCAAATTAACAATAAGGTGCCTCAACTCCATAAAAAATTAATAATATTGGTCAGATGTTGATTCCGAAACTAAGATTTGGGCTTTGGTTTTGAATTGTTAATTTGTTCATTCATTTTAACATTTCCTTTGACTATCTCAGATATACCAAAGCGCGGTGCATTGTGGAATGTGTGCCAGCCTCAATGCATGTAGCTCTGTAGGACAGAAAGTCAGTTATGAAGAGAGACTTCTTTTTCTTCTGTGTCCTGTTGATTAAGAAGAATCTGTATGGCCGGGCGCGGTGGCTGACACCTGTAATCCCAGCACTTTGGGAGGCTGAGGCGGGTGGATCACAAGGTTAGGAGTTCAAGACCAACTTGGCCAAGATGGTGAAACCCCATCTCTACTAAAAATACAAAAAAAAAATTAGCTGGGCGTGGTGGTGCATGCCTGTAATCTCAGCTACTTGGGAGGCTGAGGCAGAGAACTGCGTGAACCCGGGAGGCAGAGGTTGCAGTGAGTCGACATCGCGCCACTGCACTCCAGCTTGGGCAGCAGAGAGAGATTCCATCTCAAAAAAAAAAAAAAAAAAATCTGTATAACTTGTATTGCCCTTTCAGATAATTAATCACCCTTTTTTCCAGCAGGGTGAAGGATTGCAGTATTGACTATCAGTTATTTTGTAACAAAAACTGGACCTAAAGTTCAATTCACTGTTGACTTTTTCAAGAGGAGTATTAAATTTTTACTCCCTGCCATACAGGTGGAATTTCAGTGTAACTTTAAGCCAAATTCTGTAAAATACACGAAACTCATAGTGCTATTACAAAATAATTACAAAAGAAGCAAATTCTCTCCCCCGAGCATCTTATTTCCAGATTTTTTTTTTCCTAAGCAATCTCTTGAAAGGGAATATCATTGAGCAGATTCCTCTGGGACCATTTGAACTTCATTAAAATTTCAGAGAGGCCTTTTCAATGAGAATGTATTCATGTCGGCACTAGAGAGTTGAACAGAATTGGGTACAATGAATGATGAAAATACAGTCCACTCCATTCCTAGCTGATTGCCATTTTGGTTTTCCCAGCAAACATCCTTTCTAACCCACATCCTATCTTTATTGAGGTATATCTGGTATATAAAAAACTGTACATAACTGATTTTACAATTTGGTGAGTTTGAATATAAGTATAGGCTGGTGTTACCATCACCCAGTCAAGGTAATAAGCACATCCATCACCTCCAAAACTTTGCTGTATCCCTTTATTGTTATTGTTTTTTAAAAAACAACAAAAAGTACCCTTTCAAGGGAGTAGCATTTGCTCTCCTCTCTTCCCAGACACTGTCCTCATCCTCCTTCCTCAAAGCTACCGGCTCCTCCTGGACGAGTTGTGGGCACTGAGATGCCCCGTGAAGCCCAAGCACCATTCGTGTATCATTGAGAAGTTTGGAGAGGACAGAATTTTCACTCGTCTTACAGGCTCTATTTCTTCCACAAACTGGGCTGGAAGTAGAAGCTTAGCGGTCACAGTCACTGAAGAGCTTCTTCATCTTTTTTGAGTCAGGACTTAAAGTCCTGTTTCACTGTTTCATTCAAAGAAAATGATTTGCAATGGCCAGAGTTAAATTAAAAGGTGACATTAACACATTTCAGTGCCCAGTAAGTGATTTTTCTGCTGAGAAGTAGATAGAGATGTGCTCTCAGATACGTGAAGCCGCATACAGAGGGGCCCACCCCCTAAATAGGTCTCCAGGAGGCTTGGTTTGATCTACTAAATTTGGTGCCTCTTAAAGGGAAGCAATACAGCTTTTCCGCTGTGGGTTATTTGCCACTAGGGGAAGATTCATTTCTATTCCAGCCATAAATTAGACCAAAGAGAGGGATTTGGTTTATTGCTAGTACAGAAGTTAAAAACCGTCTCCCTTTCCCAAGTGGTCTCTTAATTAGATTCATTAGTTTTTAAATGTTAATTGGAATTGCTGAAGTTTAATTCCTGAAAGGGTTTAGATTTGAAAAGGAATACCTCCTTTACCATATTACTGTGTTCTGAGAAATCTACAGTAATTTTTGTGTAACTTTTTTATTCAAAGAATGGATCGTTAATTGTAAAGCCATTTAGAAAGGCAAGTAAAGTCAGAGATCTACTTCAATTCATGTTTGTCTTACCAACTTATTGATGAGCATTTTGTGAGATGTTTATGTGAGAACAGTTAATTTTAATGAGAAAATAGATTTTCAGCTCCCATATTCAGTGTTTTATGTGACAAAATCATATACTGCAGCAACTAAGTAGTATGAAGTGAGTACTTTAATTGAAATAGACAATTAGAGTGACACAGAAGGCATTTTCTACTTGTGTAAACACAAAGCTTAATTTTTAAAAAGCCTCCCCCAGTTTTCCTTCCTAAAGGAAGTGGATGATCAAGCCTGAGCTAGATAGAATAACAGATGTGTGTTTCATTATGAATGCAAGAGGAATCTTTTTGGGTTAATAGAACTTTTCTTTAGAAGAAGAACTTGTTTTGTGTTACAAAGGTATTATTACATGGTTGCAGTAACAATTTCAAGCGGCACTGAAAATGCAGAAATGTATCCCATTCTTCTTAGGATTTTTGAGATAAATTCTTTTTTTTATTTGGAGATGGAGTCTCTCTCTGTCACCCACGCTGGAGTGCAGTGGTGCGATCTTGGTTCACTGCGACCTCCGCCTCCCAGGTTCAAGCAATACTCTTGCCTCAGCCTCCCGAGTAGCTAGGACTACAGACACACCCTGCCATGCCGCCACGCCCAGGCAACTTTTTGTATTTTAGTAGAGACGGGGTTTCACCATGTTGCCCAGGCTGGTCTTGAACTCATGAGCTCAGGCAATCCACCTGCCTCTGCCTCCCAAAGTGTTGGGATTACAGGCGTGAGCCACGGCGCCCGGCCGGGATAAATTCTTAATTCTCACCTGTAGATCAGCAAAATAAGCTTAGTCTTCTGATTCTTGTAACTTTAAAAAAAAAAAAAAGTAAGAGTCTATAGTTTTTTTTCTAGGAAACATGGTTGTCAGTTTTCATTGTTATATTCTCAAAATAAGTTGTGTGTGTGTGCTTGCTTGTGTGCATGTGTGTTTGTGTGTGAGTGGTGTGTGTGTGTGTGTGTTTACATACTATACTCCCTCCTTCTCCTCTGGGGATAATTTAAAAAGCTCAAAGTTCTTAGTCCTGGATACTGAAACAATGCTGTAATGGAGACATTTAGAAAAGTTTAATTTAACCAGGTACTTACACTACAAACAGACAGAATGACATCACTAAGCACACAGCACGTTAGTGAATAGTGGCTTTGTCAGAGCTTTCTACCCAGAGCCCTGAAATGGAACATTGTTAATTAGCTTAAAAAATCCAGCTGTCCTTGAGCCCATGGATTCTGTCTGTGCACTTCCTGCATACATGTTTCTACACAGAACTGATGGAACTCCTGTGTTTAAGAAGGTAGCTGTTCCTTGGCCGGGCGCAGTGGCTCACGGCTGTAATCCCAGCACTTTGGGAGGCCAAGGTGAATGGATCACCTGAGGTCAGGGATTCAAGACCCAGCCTGGCCAACATGGTGAAACCATGTCTCTACTAAAAATACAAAAATTAACTGGGTTTGATGGCGCATGCCTGTAATCCGCATGCCTGTAATCCCAGCTATTCGGGAGGCTGAGGCATAAGAATCGCTTGAACCCAGGTGGCGGAGGTTGCAGTGAGCTGAGATCGCACCACTGCACTCCAGACTGGGCAACAGTGAGACTCTGTCTCAAAAAAAAAGTAGCTGTTCCTTTGCATATCTAGAAGACGATGCGTGCCATCTGCCAATAGTGTTACGCCCAGGGTGTGTACTCTGTTGGTGGTGTGCAGCCTTCCACACCCCTGGCTGGGCCCACCTGGGCCCCCACATAGAGTTCTTTAACTGCCCTTTAAGAAAGTCACACTAAGCTCTAAATGACCAGGCCAGGTCACTAACACGGACTCCCTGGTGTGACTGGCTGGGCTATCCATCCCCACAGCCCTGCAGGTGGAGTGGAGTGCACTAGGAGGACAGGTGGTGTGAAACAGAGAGAGCTATTTGAATTAATGTGGGAGGAGGGAAGACAGAGAAGGGTGCAATAGACGGTGAGCTCGAGGCTCTGCTGGGATCCAGGGCAGGGGAGGAACCTTTCCTAGAGAAAGTTAGGAAGGTGAGCAAAGGTTGGATGGTTGACCCCAGCTCCCACCTTCAGTGGATTCTAGGCAGTTCACGAGGAGCCAGAGTGTAGATGATGTGGACTGGGAGCCGATAAGAAAGTCCGGGAAAACAGAGAACAGGGGCAAGATGTCCGCAGCATCCAGAAGGAGGCCTCTTCACACAGTGAATGCCACCAAGCCACCAATGTGGTCATGAGCTTCCAGCGATGCTTGTGAAGAGCTGTGTATTGAATGCTGGACACTTTATCAGCAGTCGTATGATGAGAATAAACCGGTTTTCAGAAGCGTCGCAGATACCTGACACTAAGACCAGAAATGCTTTTCTGCCAAGGGTTCATGAAGGAAACGAGTTTTATGAACAGCGACCTTTGCAGCCTCTCTCAGTGTCAGAGGCGGGGCCCTCGGACCTGTCTTCCCAAACAGGCCAATGGGTGCACCCCCATCCAGCCCAGCAAACAGCAACTCTAATGGTAGAAACGGGCCAATGACACCTCTGTCTAGTATCTAGCATGGGTGAAGGATAGATTGTTACAGTATCTAGAAAAATAGTGAACCAGTTCTCTCTGTTTGAAATATTCTGTGATTTTTGAACTCTTTCTACTGTATTTGGGTGGAGTGAGATTTAATGTGGACTCAGGGACACTGAGGGTAGAGGGCAGGGTGAGGAGATACCTCCCTAGCAGCCGTGTGAGCTGTCTCACCCCGGGTAGAAGGCTTCCCCAAGGTATTTTCCTGTGGCCATAGACATAATAGAGTATCCTTTTATAGGATGGGATGGTGTCAGGAAACAAAATGCCTCATGTTTTAAGAAATCATGAAAAGCTTCAGAAATACTTTTAGATATTAATGTTACATCTAGGATATGCTGGGTCCTTACCACGTGTTGAGCTACACTGGATAACACATTCTTCCTGGATTCCATATTTGTGAATTCACCTACTCCCTAAAATTTATTTGTAATCCCCAAATCAAGCTTGTGGTACTTTCTTGGTCAGGATTTATAATCCCCAAATCTAGCTTGTGGTACTTTCCTGGTCAGGATTACAGAAAAATTTGAATTGCCCAGTGTGCACATTCTCAGCTGAACTCAAACAAGGGTCTGCCTTCTTGTCTCAGCTCTTGCGCTGCAAACAGGTGCCTTTTTGATGATCTAGTTAGTGCCATGTTTTCTTGTGTTTTCATGCTTTTTGTTGGTGATTTCACTTTTTAAAATGGCCCTGCAGTGTAGTGCTAGAAGCACTGCCTAGGGTTCCTGAGAGCAAGAAGGCTGAGAATGTGCTTCACAGAGAAAACGGGTGTTAGGGGAGCTTCATTTAGGCATAAGTGCTGGAGCTACTGGCCATGAATTCAACATTAACAAGTCAACAGTGTATATTAAATAAAGTGTCTTTTAACAGAAACACACATTAAACAAGTTTATATCGTTCAGTTGATGAGAATATGACAGAAGATCTCAGATCTAACCTTGTATTTCTCCTAGATGCAACAGTTCAGTGTTCCCAAGTTCAGTGGTGACCGTGTAGAGTGCAACTACAGCAAATAATGAGAATCGACTGTATTTCAACTAAATGAGCACCCATGGGTGCTCATTTACTTTTTTTGTGTCATAGTTTTAATATGATTTTTAACCAGATGAATAGGAATTTTCAGGAATCATTTGTGTAGACGGCCACAGACCAGGTGGTGCTTTAATTGAATTATTTTACTGTTACAACTTTGCCTTTGGAAATATTGCAAGTATAATCGCTCCCTGTTAATGTCCTTGGTGAACTTTTTTGGGAACGTAACATTTTTAATGATGTGATACTTCTTTTATGTGACATGGTAAGACCTTAAATTCTTGTAAGATAGATACTTTTTTGCAAGAGTCTTAGAGCCCATTATTGAGGGAGGACGTCTGATTTTTGCTTGAGTAATACATCATTAAAAAGAACTTCTGGTCTGCTTACTGTTTTACTTTTTCCTTGTGGCAACAGAGACATTTTGGCAGAAGTCTTGTGTTTCCCCACCGTGTTCTCCACCCAGGTAATGGCCCATTGATGACACAGAAATTGGCTATTGGAATGATTGATGTCACTCAGGCCTGTGTCTCAGGGGGAGGCAGGAAGGTAACCAGATGTACGTCTCCCAAAGAAAGATCACATAGGACTTGTGTTTCCACCTGTCTTTGAGCATTATAGAAGAAAAAAGACAGATGGAAACCTGAGGCCATACCATTTCTTAGTGATGGTTCCCAGTGGTGGTATTGAAAACATGAAATTCCAGGGGCAAATGAACAGTCTGGTTACCCACCTCTCTCCCGTCAGTTACATATGTGATTTTTTTTTTTTTT